CACTAAATGGGTAGAGCACAGTCATAAATCTGAGATTTGGGATGAAAAAATTTTATGTAGAGTTTCTTTAAAGGTTAATCATTAAAGGAAGAGTTACCATCTGCCAACTGTGTTTTTGTTTGTTTGTTTTTTAAATGAGGGAAGAAGGGCAAGTATCAGCCACGCATTACTCAAGGAACATATGACTGAGAAATTGAGAAAAGTATATAATTCTGAAAAGCAATTAGAAATGGCAGCAAGAATGAAGATAGACCCTTGGATCTCAGAAATAAGAGGAACAACTTGGGTTGAAAAAATATTAAGAGAAAAGCAAGCCAAAGCTGTGGAAGCTAAATTAAATTTCTTAGAACAAGGTAGTAGAATCCAGTATGATAGAACCCAGAGGCAATTGAAACACCAATGTTCTTTTAAAACATACAAATGGCTGCCTAATGCATTTTACAGATACATGTGAATTGGGAATAAAGGCTAATGTAATTGTTCAACAATATAGTGCAGATGATGAAATCTAAGCACTTAATTTGGAAAAGTGTATAGTATTAAGATGACTGCATTGATTACTGTGAAGAGTATGACATGTTTGAATGGGCTTGACAGAGAAGAAGAACTGTGCTCTGTAATTTAGAAATCTAAAGCTACTTATTTCTTCTAGAAATGCATTTTATTCAATCAGCTTTCTCTACTAGTTGTTTATAGCCAATGTTTGAAACACCAACACCACTAACAAAAAGAGACACACTTGGACTCCGCCAGATAGAATTGGATTTGTTCTACTAAGGTAATACATACATATTATTTTTTGATATATCTAAACTTATAACTTGATTGGAAGATGAATTAGTAAATTAGGAGCAATTTTACAATCAAAACATACATTTCTACTTTTGTTTTCAAAATAACATCTATAGATGTATTACAACATCTAGAAGTGTCTATGAATGTATTTCTTTTTCTCACATTTCTCTATTAAAGCCCCATCACGAGAGGTGCCATTATATAAACGGGTTCTCTATTTGGAACTCAGCAGAGACACCCTGGAAAGATTCAGAGGCGCAGTGGAAAGAGGAGCTATTCCTTCCTGTTTTGGGGCTGTTGGTTCTCAGAGTAGAAGGAAAACTATGTAGCTCTGAGTTCAATGAGTTTCCCAAGCTGTATTCCATGTCTCCATAATGATGTCTTTGGAAATGTCTGTCTTGTCAGATGCTGCCTTTCCTCTCTCCTTATTCAGCAGGCAATTCACTGCCACTCACAAAGGACCCACTCAGGCCAACTCACAGTGAGCAAAGTTTGTCTTTAACAATGCTTACTTTTCCTTTTGGAATTCTCTTCCGTACCAATGACCCTTCTGCTGCTCCAGTCAAAATAATGAAATCAATTTAGCCACATTTACAAAGGGTCCCTGGTTTACGATGGTTTAGCTTTTTATGATTTTTATGATAGTGCAAAAGCAGTATACATTCAGTAGAAACTAGTCTTTGAATTTTGAATTTTGATCTTTTGCTGGGCTAGCAATACCCTCGTGCAATGCAGGGTATTTTCAGCCATGCAATCATGAGGATGAACAACTGCTACCCCATGGCAAACTGTGTGGCCAGATGATCTTCCTGCCCGGTAGGCCAACTTAAGTGTTCTGAGCATGTTTAAGGTGGGCTAGGTTAAGCCATGATATTCAGTAGGTTGGGTGTATTAAATGCATTTTCAACTTAATGATATTTTAAATTTACAATGGGTTTATCAGGAGGTAATTCCGCCACAAATTGAGGGGCATCTATATTTTGTTAGTTACACCAGAGGTGTTTATATTTCAAACAAATATCACATTAAAAGTGAAATTTCAAGTATCAGAGTGAAATTTTTGAATAGCTATGTTTTGGGGTAGCTGACTTTGGATAGCTAAACCATGGTCAATAATATTTTTAAAATCATAAAAGTTCATATACTAGAGGAATTACAGTGAAAATATACACAAGTTTTTCTCCATTAATTCTCCTCAGAGTTTTAAAAAGCTTATTGTTAAAAGATCATTGCTATGATCATTTAGCTTTGTGTGACATGTGTTTCTGAATACTTTAAACACAGTGAGGTTAAGATTGGATGATCTAAAAATCTCATCTTTTAGGTTGGCATTTATTTGGAAGTAGTGATGATAACCAAATGCCTTTTGTTTACATTTCACCAAAGGGGAAAACTGTGTTTTCACTTACCAATAACAAACCGAGACCTGACACTCGCTCAGATGATTCCCTCTCCAACATCTAACACTAAGCAGAATTTTAAAAAACAAATTAGTAATAGAGTGGTCTTTTTGTGCCTTCTTTTCTCATTCAGCTTGTTTAAAAAAAAAATGTATGAAAGTAGCTGGATACAAATTATAGTACATAGCACATGGGGGAAGGTTGCTGTAGGTTTGTGGCTTCCCCTAACACTTATCACATGTACCACGTGCCTCAAAGTTCACCACAATAAAACTTTTGGTTCTCAGATAGCAAGTCAGTCCCCCAACTGTTAAAAACCACTGTACACAGTACCAAACCCCAGACAGGATGACTCCCCATAGGTACAAAGATTGTCTTTCTCAATGCCTATAGGAGCTAATTAATTAATTAAAGAATAGGAAGTAATAAGATAATATAATCTGTTTTCTATTTGGATGAGCCAGTTACTTCACATCTCTGTGCTTCTTTTTTTTCTCAGTTGTAAACATGTTCTAATAATTTACCTATTCCATGGGGTCTTCCTGAGAATTACATTAAATCAAGGGCATAAAGTACTTGGCAAATAAAAATAACTTAATAATTGGCAGCCATTACTATTGTGCTACAAATACTTGAATTTGGAGAACAACTTCACTCTTTGGTTAGAAAGTAGAGTTGGTTTGCTGTGGGTGACAAAGGCGGAGCGTGGATTTCAGAAGAGAAGCAAATCTGAGAATTTTTACTAAATTAAGCTACACACAGAGCAAGCATAAAAAACAACAACAATAATAGTGGATTGCTACCGACAAAACTTTTAATGAGACCCGAGACTTTCAGTGAAACCTGCCAAAAAATACTACCAAAGAAAATAAGAGACATGCTCTAAGCTAGCTTGTATCCAGCTTAATTTAAGTGACTGCTTTGCCATGCAATTGGGAACATGGCACATACATACATTGCAAAGTACATAAAAACAAGATGCTTTGAAATACACATCACACCCCTGTTGACTGACTTTATTCTGAAAACTAAAAGTAACACTAACCCAGCTGTGCTTATGGTGCTTCAGGTACTTAACAAATGACCATTTATGTTAAGTACCCTGGATTACCTAAGAAAGATTTTCGTTGTCATTAGATAATGATGGAAAAATATTTCCTATGAATTGATAAGGTGATAATCCAATGGAAGAGTGTCTTTAGCTGACAAAAGATGTTTTCAGTGTCATATTTCTCCCCATTTAATCTCTAAAGTGGCACAAAAATAAATTTCTCCACTTGGATACCTTCCTGCCATCTCTTGGTAACTCAAAAGCCCCTCCAACTCAGTATGTCCAAAAATGATCTCACTCTCACTTTCCACATCCCACCCTCAGCCTGTCCCCTTCCTGTGTTCCCTGTCATAGCAAAACAGTATTATCACCTACAACCCATTCAGTTTTGCAAGCCAGAAATTTAGGGGTCATTCCTGATAATCTCCTTCTTTTCCTCCTAAATCCAACCTGTCATCAAACACTGTTGATTTTGTTTGCTAAATTTCTCCCTCTATTCATCCCTCTTCGACTCCCCTACCAGTCTAATATAACCTACTGTCACCTCTCTCCCGGACTGTGGTAATAGCTTTCTAACTGGTCTAATTTCATATATTCCATCCCCTCTCAACACTGCTTACCCTACCCGCAACTTTTTCTCCCACCATTTCATGAGCTGGATCATATCCTGCCACTCCAACTCAGCTTAAAACTCTTGATGACTTTTGATGGCCTTAGGAAGAAGAGGAAAAAATACCTTAATGTGGTTTACAAAGCCCCATTCCTGCCTCCTTCATGTTACTTCACTCTTCTTGCCTCTGCTCCAGCCACACAAGTCGTTGTGGACTCACTGCGCTCCCTCCTGGCAGAAGGTAGCTGATATGGTTTGGCTGTGTCCTCACCCAAATCTCATCTTGGATTGTAACTCCCATAATTCCCATGTGTTGTCAGAGGGACCCAGTGGGGGATAACTGAATCCTGGGGGCACTTCCCCCATAGCGTTCTCATGGTAGTGATAAGTCTCATGAGATCTGATGGTTTTATAAGGGGTTTCCTTTTGCACTTGGTTCTCACTTTCTCTCTTGCCGCCACCATGTAATAAGTGCCTTTTGTCTTCCGCCATGATTGTGAGGCCTCCCCAGCCATGTGTAACTGAGTTCACTAAATCTTTTTCTTTATAAATTACCTAGTCCTGGGTGTGTCTTTATCAGCAGCGTGAAAACAGACTAATACAGTAGCTCTGGCTTTTCCTGATATCTGAAATGCTCTTGCCAATCCTCTTCACCTAGTCGCCTCTTCAGATTTTCATTTCATTTCCTTGAGAAAGCTTTCCTTGACTCCCTTGACCACATCAATTTCCTGTTATAAACTTTCCTAATACCTTGCAACTCTTCTACATTGCGCTCGATAAAGTTGTGCTTTTATTTTGTTTAGCACTTTAATATTTTTCTTTTCTATTATTCTGTGAGTTCCTATAGAGAGAGAACCACATCTGTTTTTGGTCACCTACTAGCCCTAGCCCAAGAACAGGGTATATGATCTCACAATATTCAATAGCAAATATTGGTGGAATGAATGAATAAATGATGTCAGATAAGTTTCCCACATTGCTTTCAGTAAACAGACTACATTGTTTTGCTTTAAAAAAAATATCAGCAAGCAGTCTGTTATGTAAAATGCCCAGTTTGGTTCGTGATTATAAATATGAAAATGGTTAACTCAATCAAATTGCTGTAAGGATATGAGACTTTGCAGAAAATGAGTTTGTTTTTTACCTTTAGTTTTAAGGAGTTCAGTTTTTCCTCCCTGAGGTGTTCTCTCAACATCTCCCGATGGAGCCTCTCCTGCTCCCTTGCAAACTCGCCAAGAGTATACTGGCGCACGCTGTTATGGCGGCTGGACATCCCCAGGGTGCTGCCCCCTTGACTGGGTACACTTGTGAAGCCTTGCCTCCTGGTGAAGTAGTACACGGTGACACAACTAAAATGTACATTCTTTGTCCTCAGCCGCTTCTCCCTTTTGAGAATGGAGGAAGCTGAAAGAGAAAGAAACAATCCTGTGAACACTTGGGGCACCAGTTTTCAGACAAGGCCAAGAAAATGCCATTTGGTGATCTTGAATCTATCTATGGTCGACCCTTGTTGGCTACGGCATTCTAAAACTATTACATCCCAGAGTTGCATAGAGTTCTTATTTTCTTTCTTAAATTTTCTTCTAGCTGCGGCAGAGTAGACTTTTAAGTACAATGGAGGTCTGTACTTTTAAGTAAATGATACTCTAAGCAAACTTTCAGGAAAGTTCTGTCAATAGTCTGTGAATCTGTGGCAGCATGTATAGTAGTCCCCACTTATCTTAAGAGGATATGTTCTCAGACCTCCTGTGGATGCCTGAAATCACAGAGAGTATTGAGCCATATATATACTATGTTTTTTTCTATACATACATACATAAGATAAGGCACAGTAAGAAATTAATTATAATAACTAATAGTAAAATAAAGCAATTATAATGATATAAAAGCATCACTACTCTTGTGCTTTGGGGTATTATTAGGTAAAATAAGGGTTCCTTGAACATAAGCACTGGGATACCCATGGCAGTTGATCTGATAACCGAGATGGCTACTAGGTAACTAACAGGCCAGTAGCATAGACAGCACTGATGTGCTGGACAAAGAGAAGATTCAAAGCCTTGGGGAACGGGAATGGGACAGTGTGAGATTTCATCACACTATTCCCAACAGCCTGCAATTTAAAACTAAAAATGCTTTATTTCAGGATATTTTCATTTAATATTTTTGGATTGCACTTGACCACAGATAACTGAAACTGGGGAAATCAAAACTGCAGATAACCGGAGACAACTGTAATTTCTCATTTCCTCTAATCCTTTGAATTTTGCTTTTATGACTTTCACAGAAGTTGTATTACACTATAATCAAAAAAGACACATAGTACAAACCCTCATACCTCGGATCTTATTTCTATGTGGAGGGTGTTTGACATTAAATGTCTACAAATTTTAGAAAATTTCAAAAAGCAATAAAAACACACACAAAAAGGCTCACTGGCACTATCTTTATGTAGATATTTTATCAATCTAAATCTAATAAAACTTTCATTGGAAAAGATCAGTGTTCTCATTAAATAGCATTATGAACAATGGGATTCTTTTTTTTTTTTTTTTTTGAGACGGAGTCTTGCTCTGTCGCCCTTTTTTTTTTTTTTTTTTTTTTGAGACGGAGTCTTGCTCTGTCGCCCGGGCTGGAGTGCAGTGGCGCAATCTCGGCTCACTGCAAACTCCGCCTCCCGGGTTCACGCCATTCTCCTGCCTCAGCCTCCCGAGTAGCGGGGACTACAGGCGCCCGCCACCTCACCCGGCTAGTTTTTTGTGTTTTTAGTAGAGACGGGGTTTCACTGTGTTAGCCAGGATGGTCTCGATCTCCTGACCTCGTGATCCGCCCGTCTCGGCCTCCCAAAGTGCTGGGATTACAGGCTTGAGCCACCGCGCCCAGCCAACAATGGGATTCTAATGTAAGTATACATTGGGACAAATGAAATTGCCTGAGATATATCAGAACTACTTATTCTTCTTCTTATTTATGTATTTATTTATTTATTTTTTATTTTTTTGAGACGGAGTCTCGCTCTGTCACCCAGGCTGGAGTGCAGTAGCACAATCTCGGCTCACTGCAAGCTCCGCCTCCCAGGGTCACGCCATTCTCCTGTCTCAGCCTCCCGAGTAGCTAGGCCTACAGGCACCCACCACCACACCTGGCTAATTTTTATTGTATTTTTAGTAGAGACGGGGTTTCACTGTGTTAGCCAGGATGGTCTCGATCTCCTGACCTCGTGATCTGCCCGCCTTGGCCTCCCAAAGTGCTGGGATTACAGGTGTAAGCCACTGCACCTGGCCCTTCTTATTTATTTTTTAATTGATGAATAAAAATTATATATATTTATGATGCTCAGCGTGATGCTTTGATATATGTATGCATTGTGAAACTGCTCAATCAAACTAATTAACATATCAATTATCTAACATATTGATTTTTTTGTAGTAATGATGGGAGCCTTTATTACTAGTTACAGGAACATCAAGATGCACAGAGAATCCAGGAGAGGTAGACACTGACTGCAGTTGAGAAAAAGAGGGCCACACTTTGTAAACATGACCTTTTGAAATTAGAAGACATGGTAGAATCATCTGGTTCAATCCCTTCATTTTACATTGAAGTAACCCAGGTCTGTAGAATTTGAGTGACTTTTTTTGATGTAGACTGTTAGTGAGACAGGTAAGCCTAAACCTGAAAGCTCCTAATTTGCTGCCAAATTATATGATCCACCCCCGCTGGGGAAGGAAAGGCACGCTTAGTTGAGAAGAAAGAATCATGCTATTATTTTGCTAGCTGAGGAATTCTCCTCAGTTCATTGTTTTTTTCGTGTTTGCTTTTCTATTAGGGGTTGAATTTTGTCCCTCGCCATCAAATACGCTAAAGTTTTAATCCCGAGTACCTCAGAATGTAGTCTCTTTTGGAAATGGAGACTTTACAGAAGTAAACAAATTAAAATGAGGTCACTAGGGTGGGCCCTAATCCAAGATGACTGGTGTGTTTATAAAAGTTAAAACTTGGACACAGACACGCATAGAGGGAAGACGATGTGAAGAGACACAGGAAGAACACCGTGTGAAGACTGATGCAGAGATGGGGATTCTCCACCACAAGTCAAGAATGTCGGGGGCTCCAGAAACTGAAATACGCAAAGGAAGATCCTTTCCCAAAGCTTTCAGAGGGACCCTGGCCCTGCCAACACCTTGGTCATCTAGCCTCCAGAACTGTGAGCAATTTCTGCTGTTGTAAGCCATCTTGTTTGCCATCATTTTTATGGCAGCCCAAGGAAACTGACACAAGTGCTCAAACAGAAAAATGAACAGAAGAAAATGAACTTAGAAGAAATCCTCAGATGGCAAAATGCTATAATTTAACATTTATGGAGTGCTTCCCATGTGCTGTACTATGCAGGCAACTTTACATGAATTATCTCATTTTATCCTTAGAACTCCCTGGTTGATATTACTCATGTCCCCATTGTTAGGAAACCAAATTACCAAAGGTTAAAAAACATGGCCAGGGTCATACAACTAATGAAAAAACTGGGATCTTTTATTCAGAGCCCAGTCTTTTCACTACCATATTTCAGCATACAGCTGAGGCCATACTAAGGGAGGTGAGCAAGGCTGAGATTTGGCATCATACTACCTCTGGAAGACGTCAACTGCTGCTGGCTTCAAGATGATTTTGATTTGGAAGGCTGTGTAAGCGATGAAAAAAAAATTGAGTCTAATTGGATATATGTAAAAATCTTCTTCCAAGGAAGTTCAAGCTCCTTTGTCTCATTTTTCCCCCATGAAACATTCAAGCCAAATATATAGAGGCTGCTATGATTAATACCATTTTATGGATTTGTTTAATCAGTAAGTATAAATTGAGAGCCTACGATGTGCTAGCCACTTTCTAGATGATTGGGATAAATCAGTTAAAAACACAGATGATGCCGGGTGCAGCTCATGCCTGTAATCCCAGCATTTTGGGGGGCCAAGACAGGCGGATCATCTGAGGTCAGGAAATCGAGACCATCCTGGCCAACATGGTGAAATCCCATCTCTACTAAAAATACAAAAAGTAACCAGGCAGGGTGGTGCACGCCTGTAATCCCAGCTACTCAGGAGACTGAGGCAGGAGAATTGCTGGAACCTAGGAGGTGGAGGTTGCAGTGAGCCGAAATCACACCACTGCACTCCAGCCTGGGCAACAGAGAGAGACTGTGTCTCCAAAAATAAAAAGAATAAATAAATAAATACACAGATGATGATCCCTGCCTTTGTGAAGCTTCCATTCCAGTGGTGAGAAACTCAGACATAATGAAGAGACTCAGAAGATTAGAGAGTAAGAGAATTACAACCTTAGCACAGAAATTCGGCTTTCCCAACTTTCCTCTTCTCCACTGTTTTGCTTCTCCAGAAGATATTGCCAGAAAGGGAATGCTTTCCAACTTGTGCGTACTTTTCCATTTATTTATGTATATATTCACTGTAACACACCTGTACTCCAGGCAGTAAACTTTCAATTTGATTTAAAAGTTCTGATCTGTTTCATAACCATATGTTTAAATCATCTTAAAACAAGGAAGAATTTGTCAAAATGTAAAAGATCACCAGAGAAGGCAAATTTAACAATCTGCCCAGCAATCTGCTATCAAATCTGACAACCTCATACATCACCCCTTACAGCAGGCTAGAGCTTCTGGTTTTGTGATGATAACTTTATATCTTTTTTGCTCTTGATATCATAAAAATGATGCCCTAAAGGCATTATTGTTCAAGGTCATAAATTTATAGATAAGGAAAAAGGTTTGAATGTACTCATTTAAAACAATTATTATACACACCTCTGGTAATTGTGTGTGTGTGTGTGTGCATGTGTGTGTGTGTGTGTGTGACAGAGGTTCGCTCTTGTTGCCCAGCTTGGAGTGCAGTGGCATGATCTCGGCTCACTGCAACCTCTGCCTCCTGGGTTCAAACGATTCTCCTTCCTCGGCCTCCTGAGTAGCTGGGATTACAGGTGTCTGCCACCATGCCCAGCTAATTTTTGTATTTTTGGTAAAGACAGGGTTTCACCATGTTGGCCAGGTTGTTCTCGAAGTCCTGACCTCAGGTGATCCACCCACCTCGGCCTCCCAAAGTTCTGGGATTATAGGTGTTAGCCACCATGCCCAGTCACATCTGGTAATTTTATTACTTACTTTTTAGACAATTGGTGGCACTCTCAACAAATTTCCTTTCCAAATGTATTTAGATCTCCATCTGCAGTTTTAGATTATAAGAATTCTTCGCTCTGGGAGGCCGAGGTGGGCGAATCATGAGGTCAGGAGATTGAGACCATCCTGGCCAACACGGTGAAACCCCGTCTCTACTGAAAATACAAAAAATTCGCTGGACATAGTGGCAGGTGCCTGTAGTCCCAGCTACTTGGGA